ACAACAAAATACACACACACACACACAATAATGCCATTATTTCCCTCTGTTGGAGCTGTGAAAAATTAGAAGAGAATAATCCCTGCACTCTAGGGGAAATGCTCCTTAGAACTGACCTCTCATAAGCTTATGGGTTTTTTGGATAGGAGTGGAACACAGAGGCCAAGGCCATAACCATGCCTTACTCCAAATTAACTGCCAAAGGCAGATACATTGTCCATATCATTGTACAAGTCCCAGGCTCAGTGCCTTCTTTCCAGCTTTATATCACAGGGAGAAATTTTGGTAAGTTTAAAAGCTTCAAAAGTAACCTTTGCCATAGACTGTCCCATGAAGGCCACAGATCCTCCAGTCAAAGTTTTGGTGGCAGATGGCATCAATGTGCTTTCGACTGGTCCCATGAAATAAAGATCTCTCGTCTACCGCTCTCCCACCATTGCTCTTCTGCATTTGCTCCTTTTGCCTGAAACGAAAGGGATGATCACCACGGTTCCACAGTGGCTACACCAGACAAGTTTCAGGGATACTATCAGCACTCAGAGGCAATTTTACCCAAAGGGTGCATTTGAAAAATCCTTGACTTGAGGCCTAAGCCTTGTGCATACAGGTAGGCACATACATGCTCACATTATATACAAATGTTTTCCGTTATTTAATAGTAAAAATGTTCATTTCACTGCCTGGGGGGAGGGAGGAGAAGAGCTTACTTTCAATTTGTCCCTAAACAGAGGAACTCACACTGATGTTTTCCTTCAGTTAGTTCTGACAGCTGTTTCATTTTGACCAGCTGCTACCATCTGGTGTGACTGATTCCCAGCTTCATGGCTTCTGCAGAAGGCCGGGATCCTGGACACAGGCCTGGCACAGGTCAGAGGCACTTGCTAAGGAGCAGGGATTCCTCCCACAGAATCTGAGTCTGTCTGTCTGTCTGATATTCTAAGGTATCTGTCTTAGCACTGAGTCTGTTTTAGCCGCCCCACATGCTGAACTGGGCTAGGTACTTCAGAGGGAGGAGAGGAAGCAGATTCTGAAATACAGAGGCACTTCAGGAATGTGTGTCGCTATGTTTAGCATACAGAAAATTTCAGAAATGAAGTTCCTGATCACATACCAGAGCAGGATTTTATACATACCACTGATACAATTCCCAGAGAGATGGGTTCTGAATTCTACAAATCCCTTTAATGATTGTTTTGGCCATTGTGCGCTGAAACTCTACCTGGACTTTCTTGTATTCATCAGAAGAGCTATCAAGCGCAATCAGCTGTAAGGAAGAGGATTAAAAAAACACTCATCTTTTACCCAGTCATAACAAAACTACCCTATCAAGCATACTATTCAGACCATCAACGTTTTTTTCTGTGAAGAAGAGATACAAGGAGCAAAAATACTCTTCGAAAGAAGCAGATTATAGGTCCCTGCTCTCTTGAATATGAACCCTTAGGTAGGGAACATGAACTTCTGATAGCTCAGACACGCAGGTTGGCCTTGCACAGAATGTTAAAGGAGCTGAATGCTTTTCCACAGCCAACCCTTTTTACTGCTTGAAAAAATACATTTGGACATGCATCTTTGGAACAGCATTTAAATACATAGAAGGAATCAGCCCAGAAATAACTTTAAAACAATAAGAATTTTCATTGCAGAAATTCAGAGAGTACCTCTTTATCCATAGTCTTTAAATCCTTATATTTTGTGCCCCCTAGAGCCAACAAACATGTTTAAACTGCACTGATGTTCTTTTGAAGTAAGGCAGAAAGACTTATTTGATCAACCCAACAGGGAAAGGCAGGGGCACACTGCAGAAGATCAGATCCTTACACGACAGTCCTGAAAGCAAGCAGAGCTTGCTGCCTTGCATACTTCCCCTAGAAACATGAAGAATAGCAACATTTTCCTTTTCTAATTTTAGTGACAATTTTTTCAGGCCTTACACTAAGTTTTCAGATTGGTTGTTTTCCAGGTTATACATGAACACCTTTTCTGTAGGTAGAATTAGTTGTAGCTGATAGCAACGCTGGTTGAGGCAGGCCAGCAAAGGCAAACCGTGCAGAAATAGCTGGGTGTATGACTGAGGTGAACAGGCTCACTGCTCTGGATTTAATGCTGACATCCTGATCCCAGCCTGAGCTCTACTCCTTTCAGCCATGACATACAAAAGTTTGCTTACACACGGCTCAGGGACTTCTACCCTGCAATTTAAAAGGTAGTACTTCTCTCTGATGCTTTAGAAGAGGTTGCACTTTAAAGCTAGTATGTTGGGCATCAGCAGTAGTCCTGCTCATACAGCAAAAGTTACAGGCACATCTGCCAAGGGCTGACATAAACACCTGGCAGGGGAAGCCAATACTGCCCTGGTGGGAATTACATCATTTGTTAGCTTAAATTTGGTTCCAGTATCTCCTCCAGACCTTCCAAGTGCAGTATCAGGCTCAAATTTATCAGATCAGTACCTCTGCATTATATTACATATGAAACAGTCATGTACAAAGACACAAAAACTACTGAACTTGTGGTGCAAGGGAATTGCACATGATGCAACAGATGGAGAGGAAAAAAAAAATACCACCAAACCTTGAATCCCAGTTCAGGCAGAGCAGATTTGTCCCAGTGAGCTGGAACTTTGGTCCTTTCTTCTTCTGAATGTTTAAAGCCCCTATGACAAGACATTATACATAGGTCATTAAAACAAACCAAAACAAACTCCTTAAATTTTATAGTATATATAATGCAATTTTTTTTTTTGCCGAGTTTTGGGAGACTATAGACTGCTGGGCTTATTCGAAAATATTTTAGAATTATCTTTCTGTTCAGTACAGAAAAATATTTCTAAATCATTATGACAAGACATGGTGGCAAGTGAGATGTCAGACAAGCAAGGAAAAAAAATAGTTATACACTGAATTAATCATAAAACTAGTTCTCTTGTTGCAGAAAATCAAATGTTTATGTAAAAGTCCTGCTACACAGGTACTTGTGCATCATCACTATAGGAGTATTAGGAGTATGTCACATACAGATTTCCTCCCTACTTCCACACCAACTGCAGTCATTGCTTTTATTTGCCATTTTCAGTATGTTGTTCAAACATTGTGCTGCAAGAGAATACATTAAAAATGGCTTTTATGTGCAATTTTATAAAACTTTTTCCCTTCCGAACATTGACCTTTTGCTCTACCTGTACCAACAACTTATCTCCGATTGTCCAGATATTCCCAAAAGAATTGTTTCTAAATTTGTACTTAGTTTTGGAAATTGCTACTCTCAGATGTCAAAAAGGATAGTGTGCATAAACTCTACTGTTTCCATCTCTATCAGCCGTTCTTGTATGATATAGCAACTCCCTATAGCAATGCCACACATTACATTATTTCCATGCTTCCAAACTTTCTGTGGCTAAGGCCAAACTTCCTTCCCTCTCCATGCTCTTACTCTGCTTCAGGACTGTTTGCCATTTTGCAGTGCTGCCCTGACTAAACATTGTTGCAGGAAAGGTACATCTCTTCCCCCTTCCAATTTCTTTTATGATTGCCTTAATAGCTGTGTTTTCACTTTAGTAACATTTTTTTTTTGCAAGCCAGTGAGTCCATACATTCACAATGTGCTAGATCTATCACCAAACGATGAGCAGTTGCAGTTTACCTCTTTTTTGTCTTTTCTACCTCTGCCTGGGAGACAAATTTAGGTCTTCTGCGAACTTCTCTCTCAGTTGTATAGTACAGGTTTTTCTGAATCATGTCTGGGGGAGTGGGGAGAGGCAGAAAGAGCAAAAGAGAAATCAATCAGCAAGAAGTTTTAGAAAGCCTTTACACAGCAGGGAAATTTGCCAGTAAGATGCTTTGCCAACACTGCCAAAGACAAAAAAAAGCCAATTCCTTCTCGCTACACACAGGGAAGCCTGAGCAGAATGAGGATCCCAGGGTCGTCAGTTTAGATCACTGAGAAAAATTCCAATTCAGTTTTATACTTAACTTTATAAAGAATGATGGACAGTGGTAGCTTTGGAATTTTTTTCTTTCATTGTTCATTAATCCACCCTCAACCAAGAAGGATGATTGTAAAATAAACACCTACTTTGGTCCTTCGATTGCATCCCTACTTCTCAGTGTGCAGTCATTACCAAGATACTACCTGCTTGATTTATCTGTAGACTGTAAGTCATATAAACACAACCTAAGAGCCATCACAGGTTATTCAATTTCATTGACCAGCAAAAAAAAACATTTTGGCAACCTCAATTTTAGAGGCATCATGTTGTAGATCTTGGATCCTCTGTAGCTGCCACCACATCGTATTAACAACTGAGAGTCAGTAGCAGCCAGTAAAATGAGACCTGTCCTCAGAGATAAGCACACAAGAGCAGAGCTCTTGGTAACACTAATCCTGGAGAGCAAGTTTTGGAAGAAATCTACAATGTGTGTTTTTACATAAGCAATAACAACAACAAAACCCTCAAATCTCAGGAAATTATTAATTTACACCAGATTTTTCCTTCTAAATCCAATAAATTTTCCCAGCTTGTAGAGAAAATTCCAAAATTGCTTTCAATTGAATTACAAACAACATATCCCATGCTTTTTATGCTCAGACTTTGTATGCAGAATGAGACAGTAACAGAGACTTGGGCTACCCTAAAATGACAGCCTAGGTAGGTTGACTCCCAGCCACCATTTCCTGTGGTCTCCAAAGAGAATACCTGAAAAGGTAGCAGTGCTAGACACTCCTAACACATGGTTTGAATATCCTGAGCTCTTGGGGAAGTCACCTTCATATTTTGAGACAGTCAAGGTATTTCCACAGCCCTTCCAGACAGGCTGAGCTGCACAAAGCAACCAGCTGTGGAAATCTTGCAACATGAATCAGCGTATGATCTTGACTGTCTTTTGCCTAAGGTTTTGTTTTGCTGCTAGCTAGTGATTAAACCAGCAGCAGCTGGTTTGCCAAGACTTCAGAAGATGAAATTTTTGGAGGAATAGGTAGGCCACCTTCCCTGTATGAACATCCCCTACCCTGTGACCTTTGGCAGGAATTCTGTCTCTGTAAGTATCTAAGATGAGAGTTCAGTTTTATCTCATTTCTCCTCTGGAAATATAGCTTGAAAATACAAAAGACTGACTGGGACCCAGGAAGGGGGACAAGGACAAAAGGAGTATGAAAAAGGTCATGAAAAACAAAGCAGTGTAACATACCTCCAAAATTGAGTACATATTCGTGTTTTCCAGCTTTAAAGTTCATCTTTGGAGAGCCTTTGGCTATATAAGCTTTCTCCAGATCTTCACTGGAGACAGTGGCAGACGCATGAGCCTTATTCTGTCGGGTCAAAACCAGAGGAGAAATACTCTCAGTCTGTTACACACAAGCAAATTTAAGAACAACTGTCCTAAGTATTTTCAGCCAGCATTTGCCTTTGTGTGTGACTGTGGCTCTGATACAAAGGCAACCTACTAGGCAGATGAGAACTAGGAAACTTTCTGAGAGTTTTATGAAGCCTAAACTTATGCTGCAAAGTCCATGCTGCGAACACTGCATTAGAGGGCACGTGTATTCACCAACTAGACCTCAGCACAAAAGGCACAGAGTACTATTTAAACCTTGAAAAGGAAGTTTGATTTAAGAGTGGTGAAGAAAAAAAAAAAGCATTTGTGTGATCCTACCTAATATGACTCACTGAAGAACTGTCTGTCAATAATGACTATGACTCACCAGGGAGCACTCCCCTATCTGAACCAGTCGAATTCACAGGGAAAACATCTGCCTAAGGCTCTAAAGTTCATCTACACACTATGTGTGGGAGAAGGGGTAGGACACAGGGACAAAAGAGGGGAGCACAGAAACAAGCACTGTGCAGTGAAAGGTGGCTTTGCAGTTATAACACACTGAGTTGAGGGACTTTTCATTTCTCCATACTTACCATTTTTCCATACTCCTGCCACAGACCATATTCATCTTTCCAGTACCAGATCCATTCTGTTGTAAGAACGAAGTGAGGAGGTCTGGTCACAGCAGAGGGTGTGGAAAGACGTCTCACCTTTCCAAGCCCAGAGCACATACTCTGAAAACAGATGTATGGCAAGACAGAGCCACTTTCAGTAACACCATTTCTAAATCTATTAAAAAAATAAAAAAAAAAGTTAGCTCCAAGGCCCCGTGCAAATCTTCAAATCAAATCAACATCACTCGAGCAAAATACAAACTGTTTCCACAACAATCCCAGTTCTGACTCTCTTCTCTTTGTACATACTTTATCTTATGTCTCACTTTGGTTCCACATGCAGTATTGAATATCAATTTATAATTTATGGAATTATGCAAGATGAACAAAGACAATTTAAAATTTACTCACACTTCTCACTGACCAGTTGTCTCCTGAATGGAGCACTGTTGCAATTTAAGCATGGCTTCAAAAAGCTTCTAACATAATATAAAGTAATTAAAAGGTGTAGCGCAAAACCTGCACCTCCTTTTGGTTTTGCAGTTTTTAGTGCTTGCTCCACACACACAACTAAAGGAAACATGATGAATTGAACTAATTCTGAAAACTGCTCTCCAAAAAGCTTCATAGCTTTTATTTCTGTCTTCCTTTTAGCCAGTCAATCACCACTGGCAGACACTTCGACCAGCCTCATATTCAATTCAGTAAAAGAGGACTAAGCAAATTTCTCAGCATCAGGCCCTCCAATACCCTCTTTGTGCTGCAATGCCAAAACCCTTCAAGGCATCCTCATTCTTCTCCATGGCTCTCTTCACTCAGGAATATTTCTCTTTTCAGGTACACAAGATATTCTATCAGTTCCACCACACAGATTGGAAGGGAGGAATGGGAGGTGTTTGGAAATCCCATGCTACCTTAGAATCATAGAATCATAGAATGCTTAGGGTTGGAAGGGACCTCTAGAGATCATCTAGTCCAACCCCCCTGCACACACAGGGTCACCTAGAGCACGTGGCACAGGACTGCGTCCAAGCGGGTTTTGAAGATCTCCAGAGAAGGCGACTCCACAACCTCTCTGGGCAGCCTGTTCCAGGGCTCTGTCACCCTCACTGTTAAGAAATTTTTCCTTAAGTTCCTGTGGAACTTTTGGTGCTTCAGTTTGTGGCGTTTACCTCTAGTTCTGTCAGTGGCCACCACTGAAAAGAGGCCAGCACCATCCTCCTCACTGCCTCCCTTGAGGTACTTATAGACACTGATCAGGTCCCCTCTCAGCCTTTTCTTCTCCAGGCTGAACAGGCCCAGCTCCCTCAGCCTCTCCTCATAGGGCAGATGTTCCAGGCCCCTGATCATCCTTGTAGCCCTGCGCTGGACTCTCTCCAGCAGCTCCACATCCCTCTTATACAAGATATACCTTCACATCCTCCACATCAAAGGTGAAAGTGACTTCTAATGATAGGGACAAATTGTGTACAGACAGTTTTAACCAAAAACAGATTCTTACAAGTATCTGTGACAAAATCCTCATTCATTTATAGTTTTCCTTAGTGAGCATTCAGATTTCTTTTGGTAGCAGCAGGAAGATTATTCACACAATTTTTCAGAGCAAGGAACACTAGGAGTGGACAGATCAGCCCCTTAAATTAACCCAAGAGGGCCCAATACAGACTCCAGGCATGAATAGTTCACACGAATCTGATCTACAGCGAGAGTAATTAAGCAAAGTGAGGGCAGTAGAATATAGAATGAAATTACTTATGTAAAAACTAAAATAGAGCCATAGCAATTTATGGCAGCTAAGAACCTGAACCAATATCGCTTGTCCAGAGGCAAACTTCAAACATTATTAAGATTTGTAACAGTTTATACCTGGTTTTACTGGGATCACAGTATGCTTCTTCTATTTCTTCCATATTCTTCAAGTCTTTCCAGGTATCACCCTCAGCGATTTGCCATCTGTACGGCAAGTGAAAATGAACTCTGACACACTTGTCTGTAAAAGTAGGAGAAAATTAGAGATGTATTATTTTTTCAGTCTATGGGGAAAAAAGAGAAAAAAAAAAACATTTCAGGGAAGAACATCCAGCTGGTGAAAGCATAAAATGCAAACAGTAGTTTAGGTTTTCTGAGCTTAGGGAAAAGTTTGATTTCTTTACCTACTAGATCATCTTTGTGCATCAAAATTGCTATCAAGAGCTCAATTGAGAGAGACCTTTTTATTAAGCTTGATTTAAAAGACAAAAAAAATACAATCGATCAAGACTGCAAGCTCATACAAGGCTTTTCATGAAAGGAACAGAGCAGACTCAAGTTAAATTTCTAAGCTTAATCACTTAGCTCTCCAAGTGGTATCACTTAAGAAAGCAGTGCTCAATTTTTAGGGCAGGAGACAGATCATTTAAAGACTTCAAAAAGCCAAGAGGCTTAAGGGCCTAAGACTCAAAAGTAACAACAGCAGTACCAGCAGTAGCTCCGG